TGCTGACATCTTTGATGTGTTGGACCTCGTTGTTTGAATATACTAGGATGTCGTCCAAGTAGCATATACAACAGGTGTCCAAATATTGCGACAGTACATTGTTCATAAGTCTCATGAAAGTAGCTGGTGCGTTAGTTAGCCCGAAGGGCATAACTTGATATTCGTATAGCCCGTATCTTGTCTTAAAAGCGGTCTTCCATTCTTCGCCTTCCTTCATTCTAATCAAGTGGTACCCGTTTCGTAGGTCCATCTTGGTAAATATTGTTGCTCCGCCTAATCGATCTCTTAATTCCGTAGCTAATGGAAGTGGATATCGATCTTTCTTTGTAAGCGTGTTGAGCTTCCTGTAGTCCACAACTAGTCTCTTAGTACCATCCTTCTTGGGTACCCACATAGTTGGACTTGCCACTTGGGACGTGGATTCTCTGATCCATCCCTTGGCCAAGTTGTCGTTGATATATTCTTTGAGCGTCTTCAGCTCATCGGCCGACATTGAATAAATTGGGGTGTGCACAGGCATCTTGCCTTCCTCCAATATTATTTCATGATCCCATGGCTTGTGTTCTGGTAAAGCCTCATGGATCCCTGGTTCTTTGAAAACATGTTCGTATTTCTTGTACTGTTCTGGTATCATAGGCTCCTTTGCCTTGATTGCGATTTCCTGCCGTGTCGTTGGCTTCTGCATTTGTAGAGGAGGTGTACTGTCCTTCGCTCTTAATGGAGGACCCTGGACTGGGTGTCCTACGTCGCCGGTGTTGTTCGCGTTCAACTCTCCTTGGCGCGTGTTACGTCTCGCGGACGCCTTGAACGTGTCATCGTGACCGTTCTTGCACTGATCAAATGTCACTGTTTCTTGTGACCAATCTATTCTAGGGTTGTGTGCCTTCAACCATGGCATCCCTAAGATGATCTGTTGTTGGCCCAATGGCACAACGTCAAGCTGTATAACCTCTGAGTGTTGGGTTATGTTCATTTGTACTGGTCGTGTCTCTTGTGAAACGTTCCCGTCAGATCCTGCTAATTGGCCATCAACTAGCTGCAATTGGTAGGGTTGTTGTTTCTTTTGGAGTGGAATTCCCAGGTACTTTGCAGCTTCTGGTGCAATAAAATTTCCTGTAGCCCCTGAATCTATCATGGCTGGCTGTGTTTGTCCATTTATCTTGACTCTGCAGTATATTTGTCCTGCTTGTCCTGTAGCATTTAGCTGTGGTGTAATTTGCTCATCTCCGTTTTCCTGGATGCTTTCATCGGCAAATGTTACACGTCGAGGCTCTTCCTCTTCTAGATAGACAGCGCTTGTCCCTGATCTAGCTCTGTCATCAAGTAAATCCCTCCATAGGGTGTACCGGTAGTTCCCTTGAGTGACTTTCATTATCGTACCCACAACTGGTGGTGGTAATATGGCTTGAGCCTGGACCCGGTGTTCTTCCCCTACTCTTCTGCATAAAAATAGAACCTGATTCTCATTTCTTTCAGATGTGTGGTGATAAAACACTTCCCATAGCTCTCCTCTGTCTGGCCACTGGAGGTGATCGGTACTGATCCTTTCTATGAATGATGTGTTCGTAGTGATTCCAAACCATAGAATTCGATGCTGATCGACGTACCGAACCTCATACGATTCGCCCTCTTCAGCGTCTGTTACGCTGAGGTCCTCGTTCATAGTTCCTTCGTCTGTATCTCCAAATTTCCAGATACGACGGTTCCATTGGTCAATTTCCCGAATAGACCATGATTCTCCTAACTGCGGGTCTTTGTTTACCCATGAGAGGCCTTCGACCTCTTCTTCTTCCTTCGGCAATCCGCTGCCCGGTGCCCTGTTTTTCCACATTCAAAGCATAAGTTGTTTTCTCGTCTTCGTTTCTTTTCCGGATCATCATTCCCACCTTTGTGGTGCGTAGCGTCGAGTTCCATAGGGTCTCCATATCTCTGTGGATTGTAACGTGGTCTTCCCTCATTCTTGCGGTAACGCTCTTGCTTTTGATTTCCCTGGGGTTTGTATGATCTTTGACTTTGTCGATATCGGTAAAGACGATCATCTGATTCGATGGAGTCCTGGATTAGGTCGTTCAAGTCTACACTCTCGGCAGATCTTTCTAACTCCAGTCTGACTTCTGGTTTGAGTCCTTTACGATAGTGACTCATGATGGCGGTTTCGTCCCACTTGGTTGTTCCCGCATATCTTCGGAATTCCGTAGCATACTTCAATGCTGATCCTGTCTGCTTGAGGTTGAAGATCTTATCTTCCGCTACCTCTAGCTCATTGGAGTTCCCGAAGATTCTACGAATCTCTGTCTTAAATCCTTCAAAACTGTTGAAGATTGTTCGAGTGGGTTGCATGCGATCCTGGTCGTCATGCTCGAAATAGTCTCGTAAATATGGTTGAATCCACTTGCTTGCTTCTCCTCTGAGATATGATACAGCCCATACACTCTTGGATTCCTTTTCGGTGAACTTGTCTTCGTTGAATCTGAAGTAGATTTCAAGTTGTAAGAGGAAGGTGTCGAGTTCCTGTCGACTTCCTTGGTATTTGTCTGGTAAGGCAATCTTGAGTGTTTCGTTGATGGTAATTTCCTTGGGAGCATCGGTCATCTCGACATCGTCGGTGTCGGGTGCTTGTGCCTGACTGCTCGCGGATGCACTGGTGGGTGCCATATCGTCGGTTGGTATTGAATCGGTACTTGAAGCAGAAATGGTGCTCAAAGTGTTACGGGAGCTGCCTCTAGGGTCACGTGGAAGTGTCTAGAGATCTCTCGAGGTGGTTTAGACTAGACTTCAAGTAGGAATTCAATAAGGTTGTAACTGGTTGCAATTCTCGTAACTATAGTAATGAAACTAATGATTGTTCTTGAGCACGAAGCTCCATATTATAATGAAACTCATTCTGTTATATAGACCTTCGTCCTCTGGAGCCCCTGGGATCCGTATGCTCCTGGAGCCCGTAGCTCCCCAAGGCTCCCTCACGTGACACGCGAATGTGTCATGTGATGTCTGTCGTAACAATTAAATAGGAAAAAGCTTTTATTTTATACTTTTTTAATTCAATCTTGCTTTTCGTTTTTATTCATTTCTTATAAATCTTTTCCTAATTCAATTATTCCTTCGAAATAAAGCTTCTTTTCATATTCTTTATTTAATAATTGTTTTTAAATAATCGCTTTCGAAAGCTAATTATAATTGTTTTTATATGATTACTTTTGAATGCTTATAAGCGATGATTATATAATTTAATCATATGATTCGATAGTAATATATGAATATAGAACTATATTATATATATATTTAAAAAGATATATTATTATATTATTTTTTAAATAAAAACAATAAATTTTAATAGAAAAAAAGAAAATAAGGGCTTTTAAAGGCCTTTAAGATTTTAAGATCTTTAAATATTAGAATTTTAGGAAAGGTAAATGGAAGAGTATATGTATAAAGATTAAAAGGAGGTTATAGAGATAGAGAAGGAGAGTAAGTATAAAAATTAAAATAAATGAAAGGTATTAATTAAAAGTCTAAAGGGAAGTTTGATTATTAATTATATTACTTTACTTTTGATTTATTCTTTAATTAAAAGCTTTATTATTATATTATACAATATAGAATATATTAGATGAATAATATAATTTGATTTTGATATAAACAAATCTTTTTATTTGAAAGTGATTATTTTAAGTTAAAAATTAGAATTAACTTTCGAAATTCAAGAAATTTATTAAGACTTTATTGATTAAAATAAGCTTTGTAAATTATAAAGATTTAGATTAATTATATTAATATTTTAAAAACGATTTATTCAATATATAATTAAAGAATTGAAGAATTTATTATAATGACGAAGAGTTTACTTTGTTAAGTACTAATTCTGTCACCATAGGGATAGCTTTAAGTGGACATTCGGCATTCTGTATCAGGCGAGTAAAGAAATTCAAACATACCCGACACGATCTATAAACATCGAGCTACAGATTAATCTCATTATACAGGTTACATGTTAGGGTTGATTCTAGAATGTAGTGCAAGTCGATGTTTACCTCTAGGATAAATCAAAAACCATCTCTATGAGTTCCTAGCAGGAAACAAGTTCAAAATTCCAGATACTCGTCTCATTTCAACTGGCATTTTGAAAGTATTGTAATATGGTACAAAGATAGGACTTCGACGATCTAAAATGCACCACATGATATTTCAGGTGCGGTGACAGTTCTAGGTTTCATAAGGGAAGCGAAAGATAGGCTGGAAAGAGCAGCCAAGTTTATTGAACCCTAAGGGTGGATAAGGATGATGATCGTGATTGGGATAGGGCTATAATGTCATACCGAATGGTACTCCCAACGGCGGACCGTTATTCTTCTGAGGGCTTGTTTCTACTGTGTAAATTGAGGAGAATGAATAGCAGTCGGCATTGTTGGGTGTGGTGCTGTTTTGATGTCCGACTGCTCAATACACGAGCTCGTATTTTTCTCCACGTGTATATTTCGTCTCCAGTGTCCACGACAGGGTAATGGTCATACGAAGATCATTGGAGCATCGTTTTCTGATAATCGATTTCAACTATTAGCTTGATTGATTGAGTATACTACCTATACAAAGCAATGAACTATTATCGTGAGGGCAAGCCCACAAACCCTCATGGTAAGCTTCGCTCCAATGTAGATGAGTTTGGGTATCTTTTGCATTCAGTTTTAATTGTCCAGAACGAACCATTTACAGGACCGGATCCTTGAGGATTTGAATTAGAAAAAAGGCGCAGGTTTGAAGTAAGCCTGGAGGTTCCATTACCTGTGATGTCTACAGGAAGGAAGGTTGTTTTGAGTGACTTGAAGGTGGTGTGGCTTGGGTGTGGCTTTAACGTGGTCATTGCCCCTGGAGCTAGGTAGGTAGGTAGCTTCAACACCCAAAATTAAATTTAGCGCAAGGCTACTTATGCATAACAAGCGAGGTTAACTTTCCATCAATTGCCTCGCCTTGGAGTATCTTCTATAGCCATCTTCGACGTCAACATGCCAAGTTCTACAAATATGGATATCCCAACTAGGAAGCGTAAAGAGCGCGATGGCGACTCTACGAATGCCGGCACAAAAAGTGGTGACGACAATTCGACCAATGGAGCGCATTTGGAAACAGAACCCACTCCGAAACGACAGAGGACGGTAGAACCTAAACCGGTACAGATTGAGGACGAGGAGGATTTGAAAAATGGGATGGAAGATCTTGAAGTTGAGGATGAAGATTTGCAACTCGTGATCCCTCGAGAAAAGGCACCAATGGAAGGTTACGACGACCTCTACCTTGATACCATCAACCGCAATGTCTTAGACTTCGATTTCGAAAAGCTCTGTTCGATTTCGCTCTCAAATATCAACGTATACGCTTGTTTAGTATGCGGGAAATACTACCAGGGTCGAGGGACAAAATCTCATGCCTACTTCCATGCTCTTGAGGTAGGGCATCACGTATTCATCAATATGCAAACACAAAAGGTCTACGTTCTACCAGAAGGATACGAGGTAAAAAATAAGAGTTTGGACGACATAAAGTTTGTATCTGATCCTACATACACAAAAGAGCAGGTTATGGCTATGGATCGTGAGGCCAAATCTTCTTGGACTCTATCTGGCAAAGAATATATACCAGGTTTTGTCGGTATGAACAACATCAAGGATAACGACTATTTTAATGTGGTAATACAAGCACTTTCTCATGTGCCTCCTCTTCGAAATTTCTTTTTATTGGAGGACTTTCACAACAAGGCGGAGCTCATAAAACGAGTTTCGATTTTATTCCGAAAGATATGGAATCCAAGAGCCTTCAAATCTCATGTCTCTCCTCACGAACTTCTTCAAGAGATATCCCTCAAATCAAACAAGAAGTTCAATCTAACCACTCAATCCGACCCTGTCGAATTCCTCTCCTGGTTTCTCAACAACCTACATCTCGCACTTGGGGGTTCCAAAACTAAACCTGGCTCTTCAATAATACAGAATATATTCCAAGGAAAGCTGAAAGTCGAATCTCAAGCAATCACCGCCAAAGCCGACGCTGGTGATCGATTACGATTTGAAGATGCAGATGTCAAAACGGATGTTAGTAGATTCATGCTACTCACATTAGATTTACCTCCAGCGCCATTATTTCAAGACGAATTAGAACGAAACATCATACCTCAAATTCCTTTGACCAGCATCCTCGCAAAATACGATGGTCTAAAAGCACAAGAACATCTCAATATGCGCAAACGATATCGACTACTTCATCCACTACCACCCTTTCTCCTCTTTCACATAAAACGATTCTCGCATAACAAGTTCGTCGATGAACGTAATCCTACAATTGTCACTTTCGACGCGCGCAATCTCGATATGTCACCATATATTGAACCCGACATGAAACATGCTAGACCCGGAGAACCAATATGGTACGATTTAGTTGCGAATATAGTACATGAAGCGGTCAGAGGGCGAGAAGATAGTGTAGAAGGAGAATCGGAAAAGAGGAGCTGGAAAGTGCAATTGAGAGATAAGGCGACAGGAGAGTGGAAGGTGGTCCAGGATTTATTTGTGGAAGGGGGGCAAAAAGAATTTTTGCATTTAGGGGAGAGTTACTTGCAGGTTTGGGAGAAACGAAGAGAAGTTGTTGGGAAAGGGAAGGGCAAGGCTAATTGATGGGGATTCAAAATGTCATAATTTATACTGTTCGGATCCTCCTTCAACAAGACTTAGTTGGTGATTCAACTGCGGCTTCTTCATTGGCAATCACTGTACTCCCTCGATCTCATTTGAAATGTTTGATTACCTAGATGTTCTTGGGTTATGACACAGGCAAAGTGTACACATATCGGGTGATGATTATAAGTGGAACGCGAGGAGATACCAGATGCAAGAGGAAGGTGTTATGTAATATAGTCATGGAAAGAAACCAAGAGATTTAACAACCATGAAGGTAGTAAAACCCCCAAATTTATTATAGATGGCCTCCACGTCTTTCTTGCAAAGTGTATTATTTTCTATGGTTCTTGTCGGGGTTTGCCCCCCCCCCTCATGAGACTATCGTTCTTTACAATAATTCTTCGACTTTGTCGCATCTGTCTTTTGCCTGGGGAAATCAGAGACACATGGCTCACGGTTTGACATTGCCCGGTCAAGGAAAGGGAGAAACGGGCGGGGGAACGGATCGGGGTACACTACCTAACTTACAAGTATGTATGTTTACACTCACGAAACATGTTCATGAATACCAAAGCCAATACAACACAACGCAATCACATGAACATGCACAAGATTCTCAGCAAGATTCTCAAGAGTCAGAAGCTACCTCATTATTGAGCTATGTATCTACCTCTATTTCATACATACAAGTAAACGTAATCACAAGTGAATATATCATGCATCCAGCCTTTTATATGACAGAACTCCTCCGGGCCAATTGATCCCCAACTATACATTTGCAAAGCGTATTATGCCTCCTTCCCGTTTTCATCCGCATGACCATTAACACCATTAGTTATCTGTTTCCTCGACACTTCAAATATCACTGCTCCGTTTCTTCCCGCTGGTGCCTTTTGCCAATTACCTAAACGGTGGGCCTTTCCTACTGCTGCAATGATGCACACACCACCCTTTCCCCTATCACCGCGTTCAAAAACTGATATGTCATTTATGATGCCGCGGGCTGGTGCTTGGGATCCATATTTCTTGGTATTTGCACCATTGATAGCGGTATCAGCGATTCGACCAACGGGACCCATTGATTCAAGACTTTTTCTGTCGGCGCTGACTCTCCATGCTCGGACTACACCATCCCAACTACCACTCAGTACGACGTCGGAATATGGAATTGTGGTGAGAGCGGTAATCCAACGGGGTGAGGGACGAGGTACGATTCTTTTGGAGGGGTCGGTTTCTGCGGATGCTTCTTCAGGTTTAATTGGCTCGTCTGCTCCGTGAGCTTGAGACAACGTGTAGATTGGCTTTTTCTTGTGAATGGTCCAAAGAGACAGTGATCCGTTGTCACCTCCAGTAATGAACATATCCTCATCAACCATAGCTATACGGTCGATACTACCCTCAAGAGTCCGGAGGTCATTAGGATTATTCTTGTGACGAGACTTCTTCTCACCTCCACCGCCACGGAAAACAAGTTGAGTTTCTTCTACCACTTTCCACAAACGGGCTGTTCGATCACGAGCGCCTACTGATATACAGCGTTCTTGGGCAAGAGAAGCAATATCCACAACTTCATCCTGATGACCGAACAAAGTTTCCACATATGCACCTTCATCTAAACTCCATATTTTGATCGTTCGATCCTTGGAACTGGAATATAGCTGATTCGTTCCTCTTCTGAAAGCTAAACCTGTAATTGCGTCTCGATGTTGCGAAAAAACTCGAATGGGTCGAAGAGTCTCTGCATTCCAAACAATAATCTTTCGATCCACACCACCAGTTACAACGAATTTACCATCTTGTGAGGCGGCCACACTAATAATTGCGTCGGTGTGTCCCATGAAGGATGTCACTTTCGACTTTCGTTGATCCCCTCGTACTGAAGCTACTAGGGTGGGCTTTTTCTTCGGCGGTGGTGAAGGTTTCTTGCTCTTCTTCTTGCCCTTCTTTTGCGGATATTGGTCCCTTGGTAAGTCCTGTATTTTCCATTTGACTAGCCACATATCCTTGGTCACAGTATAAACATATGGCGCACATGTAGCTACACCCGTAAATGAATGCGAATCCTTCTTAAAATGACAACTCGATGCTTCCCCGAATTCTAATTCGTCTGCCAATGTTTTGTATATTTTTCCTTTCGATTCCGCAACATCTTCTTCTAAACGTTCGGCGATCAAATCTCGATCGATGTCCTCGGCGTTAAACCCAGCTTCATCTTCTGCTACCTCCTCCCGGATATTTTGCAAATATCTTTCTGCTAATCTCAGCCTGCGCTCTGCCGCAGTTTCTTCCTCTCCCTCTCCCTCTAAATCATCATCCGAGGTGAGGCCTGCAACGTCATCATCCAATTGAACTCCCTCACTCTCCGACTCGCTTCCAGAAATCGATTCATCTCTTTCGGGGGTTTTCGCAGTTTTTGGCTGTTTCGCGGGAGCTTTCGATGAGGCAGCTAATCGTTTCTTGGGTACTTCTGGGGCATCGTTTCGTTTCCTCTTCTTTTGGGAATTGGGTATAGTGAAGAAAGAAGACATAATTGTGGTGGTTGTGGAAAGGAAAGGTCAGGATAGAAAATACAGAAAAATGTTCGTCCTATCAAAATAATTTTTTGGTTAGAATTATTCTGCCGTAGAATTTCGAGACAGGGATTGAGTGGATCTAAAATGGAGTATGCAGCACGTGACAACTCTCGAGACAAAAGATCATGGATTCATACATCAAAAGAATTACAGATCAAGTTATTAGAGAAAAAATACTAGTTCGATGTAGATTCATAGATCAACTGGATCTATATCTCGCAAGAAAATCATGATCAGATTGAATTTTATTCATTCTTACAATCAGAGGGGTGATAAAATGTTCAAAGCTTGTGGCGCTAAGACATAAGTATGTTAGCGCCAAATTGAATGAGGCAGCGAGAGCTACACGCGTTGGAGCTCCAAAGTCTCAATAGTTAATACAATTGGAAGCTTCATCCTACAACTTCAATCACTATCAATATGTAAGTCTGAGTGAAGAATATCTCTATGGAATACTGCGCTGACACGATGATTTTCTTAGGGAGGTCTTACTTGGAATAACTGGCAAGGACTTTACCATCATTGCAGCTTCAAAAGCTGCCATGAGAGGTGCAACCATTCTCAAAGCTTCAGATGACAAGACAAGAGCATTAAACCAACATACCTTGATGGCATTTTCTGGAGAGGCTGGAGATACAAGTAACTGTCCACTATCTTCCGTAACAAAATAATATGCTAATATTAGCGCTTCACAGTTCAATTCGCAGAATACATTCAAGCCAACGCTCAACTTTACTCCATGCGCAATAACATCGATCTCTCCCCATCCGCGGTCGCTCACTTTGTCCGTGGTGAGTTAGCACAATCTCTCCGCTCCCGCAAACCATACAATGTCAACCTTCTCCTCGGCGGTGTTGATCCTATTACCGACAAGCCCAGCCTATACTGGCTCGATTACCTAGCATCACTTGCACCCCTTCCATATGCAGCTCACGGCTATGCACAATACTACTGCTTGTCTATTCTTGATAAACATCATCACCCAGATATTGATTTCGAACAAGGAATGAAGGTTTTGAGGATGTGTACAGATGAGTTGAAGAGGAGGTTGCCAATTGATTTCAAGGGAATGACTGTTAAAGTTATTACGAAGGAGGGAATTGAGGAACTTGATTATGATGACAGCGCGAGGATTGACTGCCCTTAGAGGGTTGATTGGAGGATGATTTCTTATGATGGGCCTATTATGATACAGGAGATTAACAATGAATTAAGGTATGGGTGTATATTAGCGTGGCATCACATGGCATAAACTGGCGATACCTATCTTGATGATTCGTTACTGGAAATGCAATGTGATTTGATCTGTCTAGAAGTTGTTGATATACGTGAAATGACGCTCCGCTAGCCCTTCCGAAGGACCACCGCCGTGGTGGCTACCTTTGTAATCCACGACATTCGCAAGCATTGTGGTTCAATTCTGCTAGTCTTCTTGCCGGGTATAGGTAGGAATTGTTTTGAATCTAAGGTTTCCCGATGCCTACCCTCTTTCTCCATCCTCCGTATCTTGCTGCGTGCAACTAGTATTGATCTTCCATATGGTTTGGAGAAAGATTAACCATGATAAGAGCGTGAAGTTCCACGTGTACATTGACTACAACCTCACATGCCCAGTAAGAAGATGTAATTTTCCAAAGACTTCTTTCTTGAAGTACAGTGTTAGGCGGGCTCTCCTTTTTATAGCCGAAACTTAGATGAAGATCTCATATGATGTCCATCATTATTTTGGAAGTTGGAGGTCGATCGATGGCCTAGAAAATACCTGCATCTTTAATTTGGTGAATGGTTCACTTCACTTCATCAAAAAAATATAGGTAGACTACATAGTGACTGATACTGAGATGGGTCTTGTAGAATAGTTATTGAAATTTGAGGGAAGAATGCAGTGGATGTCTGGAGAGGGAAAGCAGATGTGAGGCTGACAGGAGGACTCTTATCTCGTGATCCTACGAGTGCCATTTGCCGTTTTATATATAAATACAGTACGACGCATCTAACCTGAACCCATATCTACAAACTGATCTAGAATTACATGTAGATCCTCTTCCATCATTGAACGTATTGGTATAATTTTCTAGTGACAACATGTGGTAAGATTCCATAGTGGATGCAACACTCGCCCCCCGACGTTCAACTGAAACAAAAATGATGATTGTGCGACGTCATTTGATACGAACCTACTTGCGTTAACATCAGACGGAGAGGAGAGGGTACTAGTAGTCAGATAATTGAAAAGGAAGAAAGGTGAGAGAAGTACTTAGTTTCTAGAATTAACGTATCACATAGGTATCTAGTAGGCAGCAAACAGATGAATATTACTTACTACCTATATCAAGACATACACAATAAAGTACTGTAGGAGCAGAATAATGGAGTGAAGCGAGGAAGCCTCCATGGCAGTGGCCCAGCGGAGCGTTATCCATA